GTGGAGATAACCCTGAAGTGCATTGCTAAACTCTAATCATACAAATCCTTCCATCATTCCCCAAATTAACAAGCAGATATTATGAGTCTGAATCTATGAGGATTTGTTCTTTATTGGACTTTCTGGGTGTATTCTATGGAATTTTGAGTGTGAAGTCAACATCTCTTTATTTGTTTTCTATTTACAGCTGTTTTCATAAATATATGGAATTGCAGAGATTTTCATCATGAGGTCACCGATCGGATCTTCTCCGGCTCATGCGTTCACGATCATTCTGCATTCTTGTGCTGATTTTGGCATTTGCTCAGACCTCCTCAATCCTTACCACAACACAAGGGCACACTTGTAGAAGTTTGAATGCTTACTGTGCTATCCAGCAACTATAGTGTATGGAATGATACAGAATCTAGGATAGATAAAAGATGGTTTACAGTAATGCATACTGTCTTGGATAGGGTAGTTGAAGACAACTGGGGGCGGGTAGGCATGTTGTACAGAAGACCCGAAAATACGTCGTTGATTGCGAGCCGGAGAAGATCCGATCGGTGGCCTCATGACGAAAAATTTTGTGATTCCGTATATTTATGAAAACAGCTGTAATCAGCAGCAGGAACTTCGCATTTACATTAATTCATCACTTCTATTTGTGTACATATCTCTCATTGTTGACCCATATTTTGATGATACAATTATCAGAAGGAATGGCAAAAATCCTCCCAGTTATATAATCAAAGTGTTGGAATCTATTTCTTTAGTATCACTGTACTATTTCATTCAACTTTGTGAGTCACCCTGCACATACCCATGAAAAATGCACTGCATGAGTCCAGTTGCAAAATAAATACCAGAATGACTTCAAAAAAAGCAAACCTATTTCTTCAGTATTACTGTACTGTTTTATTTAATTTTGTGAGTCACCTTTCACATACTCATGAAAAAATTCACTGCATGAGTCCAATTGCAAAATAAATACCAGAATGGGTTCAAAAAAAGTGAAATAGCCAGTTAAATTTGCGAAATTTCCCATATGAATAATAACACAATAATCCAATAAATGTCATCAGTGGCAGCTAACCAGCCAGTACCCTCGTTTTTGATCACATAATTGGCAAAGGCCCTCTGTGCAGCAGAGCCTGACAGCATAACAACTAAAGATCTCACCTCAAAGGCACTATCTGAGATCTGAGAATCATGTTATTTTGATTTAATGTATCATAGAAATTTAATGACACTGCAGGTGTTTATTGTACAAGTGGAGAATGAAGCACCACTATGCCCAGTGAAATACACTAGGAAAGGAATTTTTAAAGAAAATCCTCCCTAGCTCTGTTGTTCTTCGGTCTTTGCTCAGAGAAATCTGCAAACTTATTGCTTGCTATCTGTGTAGGTTTATCTTAATTTGGACATAGAATGTACAAAAAGTATTGTTTTCTGGGTAAATAATCTGATTTTTGTGTTTTACAAGTTCTGTAACAGACAGAACATAAATAAAGTCCCGCAGAAATTGGTATGCTTTTTTGATATGTAATTATATAATTAACTGCCAGTACATGTTAAGAAGCTTTCACTTGCAGAAATTTATATTTGGGTTGGTCTGAATTGCTGTATTGAATGGGTTTGAATCTTGCTACTGTCCACAATTTTCTTCCATTGATAACTAGAGCCTATTTTAAACTATTTTAGAGATTTCAAGTAGTCAATCAATTGTCAGGAGCAACAATCATGCCAAAATTGTACTTTGGAACCTGGCTGCTCCAATCAGGCATCAGCTAGCTTGAAATCTTTCTATAGCCCCATTTTTATTTTTATGAGTGGGGCCACCATCATATATCCTATTGTAGATTTTACTGTGACACACAACTTTGTTTTTATGATAGAATCAGCGATGCCCTGATCATTGAGAGCAATACTGCCTGATTCTATATTTTACATGATGCACCAGAAGAGTGAATTAACCACTGGAGTAGGGAGTTTAGCGGAGTTTACTCCATATATACAGTTGATTACCGCATATCAATAGCACTCAGCTTTATCCAGTTCGTCTCTCACTAGCATTCCGCTCTAGAGCAGCTCTAGGCTATACCACTTCTCAGCGGAGACCTTAACAGCAACATTTATCTCAAGTACATATATTTGAAAGGTTTGTCTGTCATATAAAATTGAAGCGATGGCATAGCATAGCACCAGAGATTTAATAAGTTACGTGACAACACATGCAGATACAGGCAATCAGTATCTAAAACCCTGGTGAGATCCCGTATATGAACAGCAGGGAAATGTATATTTGTCCTGAAGTAAATAGGTAGAATGATAGTTACCTTATTTGACTATAAATGCTACCTTATATCAGAAAAACTGAATTTGAATTATGGGACCTTTATAGTTGGTTATAAGAAGCAGATCGGACCATGGGTAATAATAGGAAAAGATATTTCTTTCTCTGTGCTGCATCCCTGGATCACTCATTATAGCCTTCGTATGGGGAAAATGATGGTGTAGAGTTTATATAGATTGGTCTAGAATCTCAATTTGTATATGAGATGTATATGATACCTGTCTATTATTGCTACGACTATGAAGACTCCAATGGGTATTCTTCTGCGTCAAATTAATATGAGGCTTTCACATTCTCAAAACCATTTTAGAGAAGTATTCCCAATAGATTTACACTTTCACCTAAGGGAACATTCAGATAAGATTCATTAAAAATCATATACATTCATATCTCATCTACTACGACTAGAAATTATACAGGTTGGTTCAAACTATCTCCCGAACCAGGCTAATTTTTTGAAGCTTAGTAAAATACAAAATAAAAGATAATTATAAAGACAATTTACCATTTTCTGGCTCAGATTTCCACCATCTGTTGTGCTTTCCACTTCGATATGTACCTCTATACTCTTTCAGTAGCTCAGTTATTTATATCTTGGAAAGTATTTTATTACTCACTCGACCATTGCGACTGATTGCTGGGCCTGAGGCAAGGTGATTTGATATCTGTTCAAGCCGGGGTGATGGTCTCCCATTAAGACTGTAAACATAAAATTCTCAGATAAATAAAAAAACCCCAAGATAAAAGATACTCAGACAATGATAGCATTGCATTGGAATGTACTAGAAGCTTGTCAGAAAGTAAAAAGGATATAGTAAGGAGTACATACATTTTCCAGCTGCCAACCAGAACACCATCCAGATATCTAAGAAATTTAGTCAATTGTTTTTCTATAGGTAAAAAGTGTTTAATGATTACACTTGTTTAGCATACTCCAAAGCTTGAAAAAAAATGAATTTAACAGATAAGTAATACTCAAACACTGGATTTTCCGACCTACCAATAACACTTCAATCACACTGCAAATGCTTTGTGCAAGTTACTCTGAACAAAAGGATTTCAAAATATAAAGCCAAGTTGTCATACCTAGTAATGAACCCGGTTTCTAATAACAACATTAAGACTTTTCTTGGCTTTGAAATTCCTGCAATCTCAATATTACTGGATTCAATGATTATTATTTGCTAGAGAAAGATCATCAACAGAAAATTTACCTTGGCAATAAACTATGACTACCCTCTGGAGTAATATGCGATGCAACTGCGTTTACAATATTGATTGCAGCTCCCATTGTACTCGAGGTGATAATGAACCATTTTGAATTCTCGATCAGCTCCTGGATGTCCATGGAAGACTTTGAAATCCCAACTATCCCAGCTATCAGACCTAACACAAATTGGATCAAAAGAGCAACCATCACAACTCGGCAAATCCAGGGAAAACGTGGGTAGTAAATTTTGTATGCAAAACGGGTCTAATTCAAAAGCATATTAGGTGATTTCAACCCGGAGATTCCATAAAACACGGTCTACCTGAACAATAAGTATAATCAATGCTGAAATTGTGCAAGAACCGGGCAATGACCAATGGCCTCCAAAAGGTTTAACAAGGGGGGTAATAGTGTTATTGTAAAGATATTTCCAATGAAGAGCAGAATGTATAGTTTGCAGTACACTGTCAAGGCGCATTGTTATTATTTTCATAGTTCAATCTATATAAGTATATACCATAGACAAGCTATCTAAAGAAAAGTGAATTTATATTAGTTCAAAAATATAGTACGATGACATCGGAAGCATACTGTGCATTTCAACAAGGCACTATCCTTCTTCAGGGATGTCTGTTGAAAGTAGTGGTATGTTTGAGCAAGGCCTATTCCGTATGAAACAGATGCAAGAAGGACACCAAGCTCTATAGGTCCAAGGAAATGTTCCAGCTGCTGATGGTTTAGTATCAAGTCAGTGTTGCTGCTCATCATGAGTCTGGGGGAGAGAATCCACTGAGCTCCGCTTGGAGTTTGCTGCCCATTAAATATAAGTTGCCTCGCTGGTATTACTTTCTTTATAACAGCAAGGATCCTATCTAACATGTTCTCCTATGTTCATAGGCTCCGTCTGGACTGTTAATTGGTGTATATGTTGCATTTATCTGTTGTATGACTATTGTAGTTTGTAATATATTTGTTCTCATGCTGTACTCAACAGCTGGTGTTTAAACGTCTTACGGGAACAAAAGACAGCTAAGCTCCAAGCCAGCTGGTTAGTAGCTAAACAAATGTATCACTCAACACTACACGGCATACGGAGAGGAGAGCCAAACTCCGAGGACACCCTCAGGCCACCAAGCAGTGGTCCGAAAAATTTCATTGTATTAATAGATACAGTTTGCAATTTTGTACCACTCTTCATGAATCATCTTTACCACGATACAACTCTTGGACTTCTAAGATAACGCATCTATCTACAACTACAAGATCAAAGTTGGCGTATTCAGTTCTGGCTGTGCTAAAGACGTTGTAGCTAAAATATTATAAAAAATACCACCAGAAATGTACACACAGCTCATTCCAGAACCAGATTATGAGAATTTGCACGCAAAGTCACAATTGTAAAGAATCATGGCTATACTGATGACAAGATTGATAAAAAGAGCTTGAAAGTACATATGCTCCCTGCAAGGCTCGAACTTGCGACCTCGAGATTACCCACCGCACTCTGTGGTCATTATGAGACTCGCGCTCTACCGACTGAGCTAAGGAAGCAGACATCATTGGTATTATGAACTTTGAGCATACTCCAAAGCCGGAGTAAAAACGGCCCGTGGGTCGCCTTCATCCGCCAAATCACCGGACTTTCTCCGGACCGATAGTTCCTCTTTCCCTTCCTCTTAAACTTGCACCATGCGAAGCCTTCTACAAGTCTACTATGGCCTTTGTTCCCCAGTCACCGTTCGCTTCCAACCCTCTCAAGACACGTGATGAGGTTGTTTCTTTCCTTACTGCTCTCCTTGACGGCCTGGAAGGACACACATCCCCTGGAGGAGCCCGCGTCCAATTAGGACATACCGGTACTCACTATGACGAAGTTGCTGCCCAGTTAGAAGGGTTCTCCCGTCCACTGTGGGGACTGGCTTCTCTCCTTGCCGGAGAATCTTCCTACGAGGGACTAGACCGCTGGATACGTGGGTTAGCAAATGGCACCGATCCTTCAAGTGAAGAATTTTGGGGTTGGATGACAGACAAAGACCAGCGTATGGTAGAATGCTCAGCTATCGGATATTTTCTGGGCGTTACCGGTGAACAAGGAGTGGTATGGGAAGGATTAGGTGATTCAGGCCGAAAGTGTCTCGGAGAATGGCTTGGAGGAATGAACGACAAAACCATGCCAAATACGAATTGGTTATGGTTTAGAGTATGGTCTTCTTGTTTAATTCCATTCTTTAGTTTTTGATGCAAAATTATCTAGGTGTTCGCGAATCTGGGTCTCCATAAAGTTAATTCTCCTCGTTACGACGAGGACCAAATGAAGGCTGACCTTGACCACCTCGACACATTCTACCTCGGTCAGGGTTGGTCTCGCGACGGTCCTGAAGGCGTGGTACAACTCGATTATTATTCTTCCTCTTTTGCCATCCAAGTTGCGCAGCTGCTTTATAGTCGGCTCGCAGAAGATGTCGATCCACAAAGATGCCGCGAGTTTAAAAAAAGGGCGTCCATGTTTTCCCTAGACTTTGTCCACTATTTCGATGAAGAAGGTAGTCTTTTCCGTCTTGCGACGCTTTTCATGCACTCATTAGCTTTGCCTTGCAAGGCCGAGCAATCCCGTTTGGTCGTAGCATGTGCTACCGCTCAGCTATGGCAGCATTCTGGGCGGCTTTTGCCTTTGCTTTTGGTATGTCCTTTTTGCTCCTATGCTTCCGCCTTCTACTTTTGTATCTTTGTCTGCTCATCTACAGTCTTATCCGTCATGCTGACACCTTTACTAGGCAAAGAATCCTCGCTACCCTCTCCCTGGTCATGGGGGACTGTCAAAGGCCTTTTACTTCGCAATCTTCGCTATTGGTCTCGTCAGCCTGGAGCTTATGCTCCTGCCAATCCACCCTCTATTATTCCTAGCAACTACCAACCACGATACATCCTTACTCTCGGTTACACATACCCCAATCAGTCTATCCTAGAGAACTACAACAGCCCCGGATCCACATATTGGGCATGTAAAGCCTTCATCTGCCTAGCCCTTCCTGAATCGCATCCGTTCTGGACGAGTCAAGAAGAACCCTATCCCACACACCTTCTCGTGATCCCTCCTTCGACCTCACTGCCAACTTCAACCTCGTTCGTTCAAACAAAGGTTCTCCATCATCCCCTACACCTCATGGTCCACACCAGCGTTCCTCTTTCAACTGGTGAACACGCGACACACACCTACCTCCTTTCTTCAGGCCAGCAATGCTCTTACGCCGTTAAACAATCTGCTGCCAAATACGGCAAACTCTCCTACTCATCAGCCTTCGGCTACTCTGTACCCGTCGGTGGAGCAGGTAGTGGTGGAGCTTTCATCTCTGCTGCAAAGTCTCAGAGCACTACAAAGACGACCGGTACAGGCAAAGTTAAAGGAGGTGCCGCAGGCGCTGCTGGTACCGGCGGTGCATTGGAAGAGCTCGGAGGAGACTCGACGTTGGCTGTTTCTGATGATGGTGGAGAGACTTGGAGGACTAGAAGGGTTACGCTTAATGCGAGATTTGAGACGTCTGCAGATGGCGAGTTGACGTGGTTGAGGAGTTCTTGGAAGCCTTGGCCGGATGTGGAGATTGAGACCTGGCTGATTCCTCCGAGCAATAGCGCGGAAGGGAGTGCATGGTATCTACGCATCCATAAAATCAAGCGTATAGAAGGTGGACAGGGTAAAAGAGAAATCTTGACCGCAGAAGGGGGCTGGGCCATCTATGGGCAAGGAAAGGATGGTCGGGCACTTGTACCTATCGAGTCGGCCGACGAGGGTGATGAGGAGGTCGGGCTGTATCTTTCCAACCTGGAAGCATCAAACGCAATTGCTCGGGCGTCTACAAAGGTCGGCGTCTCTGGCATCGTCGATCTATCTCTTTCTTCTCTGCCTGCCGCAAGTAAAGCGGAGAGAATTTCTCAAGCTGTTCGGATGGATGCCAACTCCAATCTGATCTTCCCTAGAGCGGTGTTACCAGCTCTCCGTGGCGTCCACACGTTTGATCAGGAGGATTCCCCGAACAAGTTTGAATGGTTGGCTACTGCTGTCTTCGGGCTGTCTAAACCGAACTCGGATAAGGATAGCCGTGATGAACAAAGTCTCCACGGATGGGCAAAAGAATGGATGAGATGGCCGTTGTTGGGTAAACAGCTTCCGAAAGAGGTCATCGAGGCCCTCCAGACGTAGTCCCAGAATCGAGCGGGTCTTTGATATTTGAAAGAAGAAATCAAGACTGATGTACCCCAGATAATCTATGTACTAAGTATGTCTATGTATCGAACAGTTGATACCTTCATGACACAACCAGTCCGTCAAACATCTCGGGGATAAAGTACAAGATCACCCTTCGGCGCCACAGATGTGATGTTGAGTGGATCCCTGATGTGATATTTATCGTTTTTGAGACGAGGTGTAGTGTAAGTTATAAGGAAAAGCACGGCCATCTTGATTTCTAAACGCATCATCACTGTATTAACAACAAATTGATACATTCAAGAAACGCCGCGTACCTGCAATAGCAAGAAATCGACCTGGACACGCCCATCTCCCGAGTCCGAAAGGGAGGTAACCGTTGCCGACCATGACAGCAGGTTTCCTTTGTGCAACCCAACGATCACCAATAAATTCTTTGGCGTCTTTACCATGATATTCTTCGTTCATATGAGACAATGTTGCAAGTGGGGCAACAAAAGATCCTGATAGCCGCGGGGATTAGATGTTAGCTGGTGGATGAACATGTGCTCGTTGTTAATGCTTTAACGCTCACCCTTTGGAATGATGTATCCAGCTAACGGGACATCCCTGGTAGTTAGTCTCGTAGTTAACAATGTATCTCCCTTCGTCCTCATTACTTCTCTGATAAAGGAGTCGAGTTGTTCTGCGTTTTTCAACGCTGCATACGTCAAATCAAGATCTCCGTCTGCGTTCGTAGATTCGATGATCTCTTTCCTAAACTTGTCTAAAAATTGGGGACGCATTGCCAACTCGAACAACACCCAAACAATAACTATTGCACTGCACATCCGTGTGACCTTCCAATCAGATATATGTGACGAGATTCAAACGTACGTTTGGTGAACCGATGCAAATATGAGTCTATTGAACCAGTGAGCAGAATACGCACGCAAGGTATAGAGAACTAACCCAAGTAGTACGACTATGATCCATATCTTGTCCAGAAATGGAACAGTCCCTTGATTCTTTGCCTTGTATCTTTTGGCGCATTTATCAAGAATAGAATCCTACTTGTTTTTAGCAGTCACTTTCTTACCACTAGTCGGAGACTGACCGATTCATTAGATACTTTTGAACCCAGACCCCGGAAAGCAATGGAACCGATCCTGATGTAGTAGGGAATTGACAGGATAGTAATCTTTACCCTGTCAAACTGCTTCAGGCCCGTGCATCAGTGTGTCTCGAGAAACCTACCAGATGAGCTTCCGCCACAGAGCTGGGAAATTCCGCGAAAAATATCCCAAATTTTGGAAAATGCCTGTTAGAGTAGCAATATCCGCGGCGACCTTCTCTACGGCATGTATATTTTCTGGTGTCGCGTGGTTCTATGCACCGATTTCTACAGAGTTAATGATGGTTAGAATTCAAATGTTTCAAATAACTGACCCTCCCAAAGATAAGAGTAAGCATGGACTCTGCCATCATAACATGCACCACGGACTCCAGATCCACAGATATGGGCTCATCTTCGGAAGTACTGGATTTAAGCGATTGCATATGATGCTGGAATATTGGGACAACTACAGCGCCGACGTCAGCGGGACGCCCGGGTTACAATTTAAAGCTTAACTCACGAGCTTCAATGATATTGTCCATATTTGCAGTAATGTCTTCCTGAACGATGGTATCCAATTCTTTTGCGAAGCTTCGGGGAAGGGAGAGCAGTACACTAAGATTGAGCATCTACAGATACCCGAATCACTATCAGGACGGAAAGCAAAGCCTCCCAAACGTACCCTCAAAGTCGCATGCTCAAAACTAAACAGAAGGTCGTTCGTAAGAACTTGAGCGGTCAGTGTATGGTCTATAATGTATTCTAGCTACAATGCGGTCAACGAGCGATATTCAGGTCAATGAATTTGTTTATGCTCACTTGATTCTTTCGCACAACGCCGACTACCGGACCATACTTCTCAATCGCGGCCTGATATGCGTACTGAGGGCGCTGGTATATGTCTTCCTCCTGAGCAAATATAAGCTGGTAAAATACAAAACACAAAGGATAAAGCCCACAGAGAGTTCAACAACTGGAGGAAGACGCGAATTACGACGTTTCTTTTCTACGAACGGGCGCCAAAGCCATCCTGCGCATAGTAAAGCTAGAAGGAAAAGACAGAGCAACAGCATGCTCATAAGTGCACACTGATCATATCATAGCTATTTTATACGTGATTTGGAAGCTGGACGTTCTAGAAACGAGCAAGCAGGCGGTCCATAGTATATGAAGCTCATGAATGACTCGTGCAAAACAGGGTCAAAAAGGGTTCGATTCCCAACGCATAGTAGAAAAATTGAGTCGCAAAAG